ATTCAAGGATGGAGATTTATTGAAGTCGTAGCAGGTTTAGATAATATTATCTGTCGTTCAGTGCTCCATTCAATAAATATTTTGGTTGCCATACAAAAAACAATAGTCATAAAATTCCGATATACAGGCTAACAAAATATATAAAAAAAAATATATATTTTTAAAAAAATTCAATCGTTCCGAAAAGTCAGCAAAAAATAAATAAAAAGAAAAAAAAGAAAAGTTCTTGCTTTCGTGCTTATACTTTGATTTCGTTTATTCACAGTCAGCGATTGCTGCACAGCTCCTCGCATGTCCATTCAGAATCTCAATTCGCGCGATCCTTTCGCCGATGCCATCAAGGGACCCGATGACGACATTCAGGACGGCCTTGTCCACATACGCATCCAACAGCGCAACGGCCGCAAAACTCTAACCACTGTGCAGGGCTTGTCGGCCGAGTACGATCTCAAGAAAATCGTGCGCTCCTGCAAGAAGGAGTTCGCATGCAACGGCACCGTCATTGAGCATCCCCAATACGGCGAAGTCCTGCAGCTCCAGGGCGATCAGCGCGAGAACATTTGCCAGTGGCTGACCAAGGCGGGCCTGGCCAAGGCCGATCGCCTCAAGGTGCATGGCTTTTGAGCGTGCCTACGCAGCCGGGGCAGTCAAAAGCACATCAATGGGATTTACAAAGACATGAGCAAAGCAAAAGCAAATGCAAAACTCACCGAAACAAGAGAAACAACACACAGCGTTTAAAATGCCTCATTTTTAGTTCAATATCTAATTAAAAGTTTCACAGTTCTGCAGTGCTAAACTTTGTGTTTTTTAATTGGGCATCTATTCAATTCGAAGGCTATAATATATTTTTAAATGGTGAATGATTTCTGATTCCCATAATGAATCTAGTCTTGAATTGCTTTAGTATATTCGCGTTTGGCTTTGTGTAAGTTTCTTTTCGAGTTCTTTTGTACCTAAGATATTTAACCCAATAGGAAACATTTATACCAGCTATACTTATTCCAACTATATATCAAAAGTACAATCAGCAGTGATCCCAGTTCCTTCTACGTCCACAACTTGTATTATTATAATTACTTCAAGCATAGCCAAAACACAAATTATATCCCAATTAATCTCTAAATGTTTTCATAATAAATCTAGGCATAATAATAATTAATCTTACATCTAATAAAATCTCATTAAAACTTCTGCTCCTACTTACCTTTGCTATGGCGACCCAAGTCTGCAAAAGAACCAAGAGAATTATTCATTAGTGACATAATTGATTTCATATGAGAAAAGTTGGGCCACACTCAAAAGTTAATCACATCGGGGCTCACATGCCCAAGTCCGAGTAAGCTGACGGCAAGCAGATTCATGGCCAGTTTATGTTTATGTCAAAGCCAAAGCCAAAGCCAAGAGCAAGACATTTGGCAAACAATTTTTTTTATTTTCGCTTCAAGTGTTTTATGTGTGGCACAGCGAACGCCCACTGTGCCACGCCCAGTTACCTTGGCTGTGCATCAGAGATATCGTGGCGAATGCAGAGCCAAGTAAGCTGGCTTAAAGGACAGCAAACAGTTGAAAGTGCCAAAGGGTCAGCTGCAAAATTTATGAAAAATCATAACTTTCAATGACACTAGAGAGAATGAGCTAAACGGGTATGACTGACTGTGTAATGCTCTGGATAAAGGCACTAAATATAAAAGATAATTTTGGTAAACTCAAAATATAAAATTCACACAGATTAAGTAGAGGTCTAAAAGAAAATTATTTTTCCCAGAGAAGCTAACTCATACGGAAAGCTAATACGCCCATTTTAAAATCTTATACAGCTGTATAAAAATATGTTTGCAAAATTGTGCGAATTCTTTAGTGAATGGCGTTTTTGCGCGCTTTTATAAATGTTTGTTGTGGCTGCCATTTATCATGGGAGATGCCAGAATTAGCACACAGCCAACTACCACAGCTGTGGGCGTGTCGTACAGCAAGTGTGGGCGTGGCTTGGGGTAATGGGTTGCATCAAGTCCAAGTCGAAAATGGAGTGACACCAGCTGGAGCTTTAAAGCTGATGAACCTTTTAGCCCACTTGACAAAGGGGGCGTGACTGCAGCTAGTCAAAGATTTATGTGACTGTATGCGTGTGTGTGTGTGTGTGTGTGAGCGCTAAGCCATTGGATATTTGGTCCGAAAATTACTGAACAAAATATTGTAATTGCGTTTGAATGCAAGTGCAAGTGCAGCAAGTATTTCATTAAAATTATATCAAGCAGAGCATCATTAGAGGCCAGGCCCGGGTCGGGCAGGACGCCACGAATCGTTGGACTCGGGCGTGCAAGATTCAATTATGCTGTAGCTCTCAAAATCTGCAGCCAGACTCGAGTTGCTCCTGCTGCTTCTCCTGCTGCTTCTCCTGATGCTGCTCCTGCTGCTGCAGCTCCTGCTGCTGCTGCTGCCGCTGAGAGTTAATCAGTTTCGCTAACTTCATTTGCGCGCCAGCAAAGGAAACAGAGCAAAACTTATGCCTGTGCCTGTGCCGGGGCAGCAGCAGCTGCAGCTGACTCTACGACGCTTGCTATTGAGCTGAATGCCAGCCAATTTCATGCATTGCAATCATTTACAAAAGTTTCGGCTGCAGCCTCTGTTTACTACTTAGACGTGTTTCACACGACAAATACTCAGGTGGCTGGCTGCCTCTGCTCGCTCGCCAAGCAACACAAAATCTCAACTTAATGCAGCTAAAGAGCTTGCGGAAGGCTGTGCGAAAAAGAGTTTTGGGCAGCTACTTTAAGCGAATATAGTATGAGCCTCAGCACAGTAGCCTTTATCCAATTATTTAAAGATTTAACGACAAATGAGAGTTAGTCTTGAGCTGAAAGATTATTTCAGTGCTGAGATTAAAACTTAGAAAATTGAGAAAATATAAAAGAAAGATAAGAAAAGAAAATCAACAAGTATTTGAAAATTTTAGAAACTAAAATATTAATAAATATATATATATATATTCAAATTCTGACTTAAAATGAAATAAATATATTCAGAGAGCAAATTATTAAAATGATATATTTTAAATTAAAAATCAAATTTAAAAAATAAAATATTTTCCGAGAATAAAATATTTAAAAAAATATATATATATTTAATTTAAGTTAATTGAAATGACAAAAATATGTTCAGAGAGTAAAATTAAAAAAAAAATATATAAATAAACAAATGATATATGTATTTAAACAAATAATTTTTAGAGAGAATTAAATATATAAATAAAAATGCGTTGTAGGACGTTCTGAAGATGAATTTTTCTATGATAGATAAAATTTCTAGAATAAGCCGTTTATTGTGAAATGATACGAAGTCCTCAAATGCTCGGACTAACGTATGATGGACTTATCAATAAGAGTTAGTCTTCACTCAGGAAAGTAAATGTATAGATGTAAACAAAAAGTTCTCAACTAACAATTAGGAAAAACAAAAATCAGCTCTAAAGTGAAGCTCAAGATTAAACTGTAAATTATAAGATTTAAAGCTGTCAATAAACCTTCTAGTTACCTACATTTACCTCACAACTTTATTTTCAATATTTATAAGACAAAAATCAATTGAATTAGGATTGAGTGTAACAATCTAGCATTTATTCAATTCGGCTATAAATCAAAGTCCACTTCAAAAGGCCAACAATTACCAAACAATTAAATTGTCACAGTTCACGCCAGAGGCAAACTTGCCCGATGGACGGCTCAGTGCCAGGGCATATAAAAATACAAATAAAAAGCTAAAACGTCTAAGACAACCACAAAAGACCAACAAAATCAATGGAGTACTCTGCGCTCTGGCCCTTTTGTCTCTCGACACCTCTGTGCCCGCCGTTCTCCCCTCGCATTTACCGGCAAGTTCGTTTCCACTTCCGCCCAACTCTGCTTCGGCAGAGGAAATGGAAAAACTGCACAACTTGAAGCATAATACGAGCTCTGCTGGCCAAGCAAATTGAATAGAATTGGTAGCATTGCCATGCGCTGCCGTCAAGGGCAAATGGCCAGTAAATCGGGCACAGGACTCAACGTCTGTTTCCATTATTTATTTGCTGCAAATTAAAGCCAATGGGACAGACAGACAGTCAGGCAGACAGTCAGACCGACGAGGGTGCTGCTGCTGCTGCTGCATAGCAAAAGGGCAAGTCAAGTGTCAGCATAAATGAAATTTCCCACCACAAACTTCCGGCTGGCATCGCAATGTGTTGCGGATCGCCGGCTGCAGGGCGGGGCGCTGTCCTGATGGCTGTTAACAATGCATGTGCCTTAACAGAAAGCGAAAAAAAAAAAAAAACACGCACACACAAAAAACAAAACCAAACAAAGTGAAGCAAATAGGGGCCAACTCTGAACTTTTTAGCGGTTTCACTTTCGCTACCATCGACACACTTCGCTGGCCATAAAGTGCAACAAAACGTGAGCATGAGCAAAAGGGAGAGGCGCTCTGCCGGCAGGAGGCAACTGTTTGAGCATGTTCCAGCTCATAGAATGCGCACACAATTCAATTGCAACGTCATTTCCGCTTCCGACAGATGCCCTACAAATGGCAAAAACCTTACCCAATAAGTGGTTTATCTTAGATAAAATATGTTTATAAATCATTTTGATATATAAATATATAGCTTGCTTGCTTTCAGTACAACTACTAAATCAATTAAATATCAGAATTTCTATTTAAAACTATGTAGGAATATTTGTAATAAATATATAGCTTAAATATTTAAAGATTTTATATAATAATTTATATTTTATAAAAAAGTTATATAATAATTAATTTTATTCAAATAAAATAATCTTCATATTGATTAAAATATTAGCTATAATAAAAAAAATGTTCCCTTCTTAAAAATAGATTAAACTCACACTTAATAGATTCAATTTCACTTAATCGCAGCAAAATAATTTTTTAAATAATAATAGCGCATATCAAATTTTAAATTTAATTTTTCAGGGCACACAATATTCGGTCAATTCATGCTCAAAACATTCCGCTTCTTGTCCATTTCGAATGCATGGGCCGCTCTTTTGTGGCCGCACACAAATGAGCCGCATCATTTCCGATTTTTTGCGTAGTTCTTTGTTGGTTTTTGCCAATTGCGAGGGTGTGCAAGTGGTTAAATCATGCGAAGAGTGATAGAGGGGCAAGGTGCACTAGGTTCGTTGACTTACAGATAAAAAAGGCAGTCTGTGCATAAAAACAATCAACAACAACAATTTGCACAAAGTTCAAGTGAAGCGTTCATTGAGTCTGAATGGAAGCGGGCGAGTGTTTTTTGCTTTAGCCACATTTTTTTCTTGTTCTTGTTTTAATGAACTTGTTGATGTTGAGTGTTTGTATGCGTTGCGCTTTTTCCTGTGCACTTGCTGTTGTTGTTGTTGTAGTTGCCACATATTGTTGCAAATGGCATTTGTCTGTTTGTCTGTCAAATTATGTGCAGCAAGTGCAGCACAGTTGCACACTCGAGCATTTTGCCACTTAATTACTTAGCGCGCGTCGAGTGGCATTAATTGTTAAACTTCATTCAGTTCGAGTGGCCTGCCAGCTGCTGAAACATTTGCGATTATTAAAGCTGAATTCGTTTAATAAGCATTTTATCAAGCTCGAATGCATTATGGCAGGTGAATTTCCAATTTTTGTTTAGTTTAGTACTCAAATAAAATTTAAAAAAAAAACCCAATATAAAACTAAACAAAAA